ATGTCTTCCAACAGTCCCCTGGCTGGCTGGAAAGTGGGTCCATGGTAAGAGGGGGGCCAAGCCGAAAAGGGATCCCCAGGGATACCCATGGGGAGATGCAAAGAAATGAGCCCCTCCCAGCGGGGCTGGGATAAGGGTTCCTTCTCCAGAACATCCTTGTTTCATCACGTGTGTAGTGCAACAATTCCTAAGACCTCTCAGGTTAGCTAAACGCACACCTGATGGCAGACTTCCCTGCTCACAGTCCTTCGATGGCTCCCTATTGCCCTCGGCATAAATTAGCTCAAGCTCCTCGGGCTGTAATAGAGGCCTCAGCCTGCACGTCCAGTCTCAGCACCCTCACACGCTTCCTCAAACTTGATCTCAGGAAATGCTGAGCTGTGGTGGCCCTCACGTCCCTTCCGCTTTCAACCTTGGCCTTGGTTCAGGCACACCCTCTGTCATATCCTTCTGCTCCTTGTCCCCAGCCCCCAGGTCTCACTGCAGATTCACCCCCTTAAGGAAAGCTTCCCCCACTGAGCCTTCTGCTCTGCCAGGGGAGCCCCGGGCCAGGGTCTAAGTCCCCTTCGCTCTGTTCCCACAAGAGCCCATATGGACACCGTGTCCACTGCAGAGACCTGACCTCGTTTGTTGTGGTGTCTCTCTAGCAGAAACAGGGTGTCTCCACCTTGGCTCTACTGACACTTTGGGCTGCTTGTTCATTTGTTGTGTGCTTCCCAGGCATTATGACAACCAAAATGTCCCCGTCCATTGCCACATGTCCCCGAGGGGCCGAGTGGCTTTTGAGCGAACATCACCGGGCTAGACTGTCAGCATCTTGAGGGTGCACCGAGCAAGGGCAGAGGACCACGGAGCCAGAGACATGAGGGTGAGATCCTCGCTGACCTCCTTGCCAGCTGAGTGTGCCCCCAAGCAAGTTGCTTCCCCTCCTGAGCCTCAGTTTCTTCACCTGTGGAATGGGGATAATGGCACGTAGCATGTACAGCAGCTTGCTGTAGTGGTTGATGTTGGCAACCAATACATATTGCTCTACCATTTGACTGGACATCATGTTTTAAATACATAGAAGATTTAGCATTAGATTCAGGCTCCCCTGACTAGCACTGAGCGCTGCCATATACCAGATTTTTCGTCATCCCGTTCAGCTTTCACCATTTTTATTGTCATCATTCCACAGATAAGGAAACTGAGGCCCTAGTGTCAGCTGGCTCACTCAGGATCAAATGTTACCCTATTACAGCTCAGATTGGAAGCCTGTCTTCTGGCTCCAAGATAGTCGGGGTCCCTTTCCTCTCCAGAACCTGGTAGATGCTCTCGTCTCCACCTGCCAAGCTCCCATACCACCCTGTCTGGCGACCCCGTGTGTCCTGAGGCTTCAGTTTTGTGTCAATTCCTCCAAGATTTTGTGCCCACAGCACCTGTATTTCTTTTATTATTATTCTTATGTTCAGTTAGCCACTGTATAGTAGTACATCATTAGTTTTTGATGTGGTGCTCAATGATTCATTAGTTGCATATTTCTTATGACACTTTCAACCACCCCCAGTAAGCTGTAAGCTCCAGGGAGGCTCAGTTAGTGACTGAGTGTCAACCACTTTATCCAGTGCCTAGCATAGCATTGGCACTTTCTATGTGTTGAATGAATGAATGGAATGAATGAATGAATGAATGAGTGAATGAATGAATAATTAATAAAAAATAGTTAAGAAAGGTGAGCTCATAGGACTGAACAACCAGGAACATGGCGGTCAGCAGACCAGGGAGAACCCCTCAGCTCTCGAATGGTCTTTTTCCTTGCAGGTGTCTCCAGTTTCTTCCAGGGACATTGCTTCTTTATGATGAACCCAACACACCACATAAAACGGGGACAATCATATACAGGTGATATCAGAGCCTGCATTTTTTAGACGTGTGGCTCAGGCCCATTGACATATAGTCAAGTCAGTTCCATTGGCAAAGCCTCCCACAGCCTGTGAGGTCAGTGGATGTGGGGGAGCTTCGCCTGAATGCCTGGTCATCTTACCTCATCCAGTTCCTCCACTACCCCTGTGGACGCTGAGCACCAAGCCTTGCCTCCTACTGTTCCAGCTTACCCCAAACACCACCAGTCATTTTCATACGTCTGCGCTCTCCTACCTATGCTTGAAGTCTCCACCTAGATGTGGCTTCCTAGAAATGCTGTCCTTCCCTCCCACTCTGGGCTCCCATAATGCTTTGCCCTTCCCTGGCATCAACCTCCTTCATCTCCCATAATGCCTTGTAGTTCCCTGGCATCAGCCTCCTTCATCTGCCCCACTCTGAACATCAACCTTACTCAGTTCTCAGCCCTTTCCTGCAGTGTCCCTAGCACTCCACACCCCACAGGTGCTCACTAGATATTTGATGCATGAATAAATGCATTTTGCACAGGGGCATGCATTTGGGCTGTGGTGCTCTGATGCCACTGGACATTGAATTTCTGTAGGTCCCTTGCTTGGTTCCATGATCACCAAGCAACCCTCTGATGATGATTCTGCCTCTCCCATGAGGTCTGCCCATGAGAGAGAACACCTTGGTCAGAACCCAAGAATTCTGACCCACATGGCTATTTATGATTCTTACTGTAAACTAGTAAATTGGATTCTGGCTTCATAAAAACAGAACCAAGTACAGAGGGACTCCCTTGCAGGGCATTGTTTCTCCTTGTTTGCCTGCTATGATCCTCTCTCCCAGGACAAATAGGGAAATTGTTCTCCCTTTGTCTACTCCCATTCCCAAGAAAGACAGTCAAGGTGGGAAGGAGAGAAAATCTGCACTAACCTTCCATCTCATTCTCACCTCTTTGCAAAAAGAAGGCAGTGTTTTTAAAATATTGTACAAAAGAATATCTTCCCACAGGAAAGAAAATATAATCATCTCTTCAGGGGAAAAAAATACAGTTCCTTAAAAACCCAACCATACCCTGCATATGTTCTGTTTAAATGCATTTTATTAAGTTTTATACCATTTAATGATGGCTTAAAGAAGAACTACATAAACAATACTATTTTAGTGTAAGAGGGTTGGAATATTTCTAATTCAAGCCAGTAAAACCTCACTCCTCAGTGGTTTATAAAACTTGAGTACGTTGATGTGGCAGAGCTCAATTAATGTCAGGCCGTATGGATTTCAATCTGGCTTGAAATATATTTAAACAAATGAAGTAGATACAAATGTTGGCTCTTTGGCCAGCCAGAGCTAAAAAATCCATTTTCTATCTCATTTATAATAAGAACTAATTTGAATGTAATTTATCTAAAGCACAATGTTTCCTAATTTTTACATGCAACCATTAGTTATAGTTTAAGTAATAGTTATATCCATGGATCTTAGTGCACTTAATTGAAAATGCATGTTATTAAAACGCAAGACTTAATCCTTCAAAAATAAAAGCATTATCCTAAAGAATAATGGAATACTCAGACTCAGAGCAAGAGAGAAGAGGGGGCAAAAAGCTTTAAAAAAAAAAAAACCCTCCCCTTTAAATACAGTACTTCTCTCTCTTTACGTGGTATTAGAATTATGTCAGAGTGAAATTAGCCACTCTCGACCCGTTATTTCAATTCAGATTACTACTGCCTCTCATCCGAGTGTCAGACTTGGCATCAGAGTCAAATCCGTCTGCCGAGGAGTGACATGTCAAGGGTGACAGTGACAAATTGTCACTAAGTGAGGAATAACACATGACAGGGCATGTGTCCGTAATGAGGCATATGCATGCCAGTAAGCCTCGGGATGCGTGAGGCTGAGGGCGGAATGCTGGGAGCACTCCTGATGCTGTGAGTTCTCATTAGGGCTCCTTGGATGGGGGTTTCCAACATTAAAATAAATAAATAATAAATAAGCTTAAAATAAAATAAGGCCTGCCTTTGTGACCTCTTCTTCCACATTCATGATTTATTTCTTTATTTCTTTCTTTAACTTCACCAAGATCAAGGAAACCCACACTCCAGAATGAAATTATTCTACCTCTGTGTGTTTGTACAAATATTTCTATGAGCACTTTGAGAGACGGTACAATTTACCAAGCAGAGGCCATCACACAGACATTCACAAGAGCACCAAAAAAGCAGATTTCATATTGGTCTCCAGCGCAAATACCATTTAATGATGGGCTGTGGTGCTCTGATGCCACTGGACATTGAATTTCCGTAGGTCCCTTGCTTGGCTCCATGATCACCAAGCAACCCTCTGCTGATGATTCTGCCTCTCCCATGAGGTCTGCCCATGAAAGAGAACACCTTGGTCAGAACCCAAGAATTCTGACCCACATGGCTATATTATGATTTATGATTATGAAAAATACAATTTTTACCCCAAGCAAAATGCAAATGGTTAGAGAGAGAGTGGGTAAGAGGTATCATTATGAAAAATTAACTCGAGAGGCCACAAAAATAGGAAGCATTAAGAAAGGGAGAGAGAATCCCTTATTGTTTTTTTGTTGTCTTTAATTTCACATATGGGATCTCCAGAATTGTTTGTCCAGATGAACAGTGATGTTTTTATACCCCAAGTCATGTGCATACATAAAGACATGTTACTGGATTTTATTGACAGTTGGATAGATGGGGGGAATATGAATGAATGGGGGGATGGGGGATGGATGGATGAGGGGATGAGGGGAGGATGGGGGATAGGTGGGGGGAATGGATAGATGGGGGATGGATGGATGGGGGATAGATGGGGGATGGATGGGGGATGGATGGATGAGTGAGGGGATAGATGGATGGGGGATGGATGGGCAGAGGGATGGATGAATGGGGGATGGTTGCGTGGGGAGGTGGGTGGATGGGGGATAGATGGGTAGGGGGATGGATGGGTAGGGGGATGGATGGATGGGGGATGGATGGGTAGGGAGATGGATGGGTGGGGGAATGGATGGATGGGGGGATGGATGGGGAGATGGATGGGGGAAGGATGGGTGGGGGGATGGATGGATAGAGGATGGATGGGTGGGGGATGGATGGATGGGGGATAGATGGGTGGGGGGATGGATGGGTGGGGAGATGGATGGAAGGGGGATGGATGGATGGGTGGGGGGATGGATGGATGGATGGGGGGATGAATGGGTGGGCACCGAGGTAAGACAAGAAGTGAAGAGTCCACAGGTATGGCTGGATCAGCTCAAATGTCATGTAAGAGCTTAGACTGACCAAGGTGGTCAGTAACTATTGGAAGGTTTCAAGCTGAGAGTGAGTGGCCAGGTCTGCATGGTGGTGTCAGTGTGTGCAATCAATGGAGACAGATGAGAATGGAGGCAGGTGACCAGGGAGGAGGCTGCTGTAATCTTTCAGGTATGAAATAGTAAGTAAGGGCCAAGACAAGGTGCTGAAAGTGATCCAGAGTGGGGACAGATAGAAGGGATGTTAGAGAGAAATGACCAAAGAAATTGGTTAACTGGTTAGATTTCTAAAATGGAGAGACCCTGGATGATCCCCCAGTGTATGGTGGAATGGCAGAACCAGTGGCCAAGACTGCAGCACAGAGGAAGAGCAGGTGTGAGAAGGCAGGGATGGAGTGACCATTTGGCAAATGCTGAAATCTTAGCGAGGAGCCCGGTGGGGAGCCCTCAGCACATTGGTGGGAATTGAAGATGCAAGAGAGGAAGAGAACTGTAATCAAAGACTGTATTTCAGCAAAACTGGAGAGGACCCAAGGGACAGGGTTTGCGAGTTCCTATAGTACACATTTTCTACACAGAGATCTATATTGGTAAGTGGGATTACACATTAAGTACTAGTTTGTAATTGCTTTATTTTTTCTCTTAATAAAAATCTCATGGACCTGTTCCTTTATTTTTTTTCTTTGACCTCATTTTTAGTGGCTGTTTCAACTCATGTCATAAATTACTGACTATATTCCCTATTTTGGGCATTTAGATTATTTCTGGGTGTTCACAATTATATACGCCCTCCTGTGATGTTTGAGTCTAGTACAACTGAATTTCTTGGCAAGACCTCAGAGCTCCCCTGGGATCAAAGGGAGAGAGAAGAGGACAGGGTGCACAACACTTAGGTGCTCTCGGCTGGGGATGAGAGGTCTGGTGGCAAGGGGTCATTTAAGGACCATACTCCACCTGGGGTGGCAGGAAGATGCAGATGCCCAGGGCGGCTCTAAGAATTCCTGTCTGCATCCGCAGCTCCATGGGTTCCAAGGAGCCTCTCTGGGAAACTGCTTGATAAACCATTCATTTAAAAGTCACTTATTAAATTCGATGTCACAAATACCTGTATATTGGTCCTCGCTGTGAATTAGGCCAAAGCAAACCACCTAAATCCTTAGTGTCTGATTTTGCTCATGTAAAATATCACGATGTTCACTGTGGGTCTGCAGGAGACTCTGCTCCACAGGGTCCCTCAGGGACCCAGGCTGACAGAGGCTCCACCCTCGTGTCGTTTCACCATCCAGAACATTCCACCTTTTCAGTCGCCATGGTGGAGGGAAAGAGATTAGGGAATCCAGGGCTTTTCAGGGCCTCTGCTCCAAGTCGCTCACATGGCTCTACTCACAGCCCCTGGGACAGAATGGTCACATGACCACGCCTAGCTGCAAGGGAGCTGGGGCGGGTGGGAAGACGGACGGATTATTAGGTGAGATTCACTGGCTCTGCCACAGCCTACCCTGTACTGACAAAACAGGGTCACTCTTGCATTCAATGCCCACTGTATCATGACAAAAGATAAGACACAGCCTAAACGTTGCAACAGGGAGCTGATGAAGTTGATTGCTAGACTCACCAATAGACTCTATTTTAATCCGAAAAAGAAAGCCCTTACACATCAACATCAATATGAGATCATCTCAATATATATGACGATCTCAATATATATGATGGCCTCACATTAATATGAAATCATCTCAAAATATATGACGAAAAAATTAAAGCGCAGAGCAGAAGGTACAGAATGCTGCCATCAGGTAAGAGGGGATATATACAAGTGACTGTACACTCGTCAAATGTTTCTGACACAGGAGGCTGGGGACATTGCTTGTCTTTAAGAAGAGGATGCATGGCTGACAAATTGGAGGGGAGGGCAAACTTCACTGCTATTCTTCTCCACCTCTTGAATGTGGAACCACTGGAAACGCGTGACCTGTTCCAAAAAACCTCTAAATTATTTTGTAAAAACCTTCGTTAAAATCGACTTTGAGCCGGCACATACACATGGAGGAACTTGTACACACGCACACGCACGCACACGCACACACGTGTGCGCCATGAGCTTGCCCCAGCATTTCTGACCAGCTTCCGGCTGCTGTGTCATGCCTCTTTGGGGCTCACAGGAAGCCACCATGTCACAACTGTGACTGCCAATAGCACTAAGGAGGTCACTTTCCTGCAGGCAGACTTTTTCCCCTGGTGGTCACTGCTCACGGTGCCCTCTGGCCTTGGGGAGGGGCTCCTGCTTTGATTCCATCCGACACAGCTAATTCCAGGTTTTCCACTCTTTCGAGGTGTCAGGAAAGCCCCAGGCAAAACAGAGACAACTGAACATCTGCTGCGAGGTAGCGGGATCTCGGTGCCACGAGCCTTGCTGAGTGCCGCTCCCATCTGCAAGCCCAGGGGCCACCCAGCCCACACCAGGGGAGTGCACGACCTCCAAGTCCAGCCCGACCTCCCAGAAAGCTCAGGGAGAGCAAATACCTCAGTGGGCAGTCCACCTCTCCAGCCCTCATGTCCCCGCCTCTCTGCAGGATGCCTGACAGTGGGAACAGCCGCTCCCACCAGGGACACAGCCCAGCCCTCTGGCCCCAGAAGGACAGGAGCCTAGAATCACCCAACAGCTGTGCATTTGGCAGGTGCGCACATACAGGAAGCCTTACATAGGAGGCTCCCTCCAGCTCAACAGAAGTGTAGTGAGGAGCCGGCAGACGCACAAGACAGACTGGGGCAGCGTGAGAAATCCAGGCCTCCTGCAGTAGGCTTGCCAAACTCAACCCTGGCAGGGGTGAGACTCCAACCGAGAGAGGCTCGCAAAGGCTCCGGTCCACCTAATTAATTTCAAGTGTTTGGGGAAATCAGAGAAAATTTGCTGAAGACAAATCCCAGACCTCCAATTGGACAACTGCTCCCCCTGCTCATTTCCCCCTTATGCCTAGTTCTCATGCAAATGTACCCCCAGCCAACCCATCTCCTCCTGTGGGGGGGCATGCAATCACCCCTCCCTGCCACCAGCCCGCCCCCGGCGGAGGTCTCCCCTGCCAGGCCTCAGACATGCAGAGCACGGGGCCCAGGGCTGCCTGTTCCTCCCCCTTGGCAACAAGTGAGTCGATGTATTTCAGTTGTGTGCCCAGGTGTGGGATGGGACTGACTGGCTTGGAGGCTGAGAACCCTGCAGGACACAGGGGCTCAGGGCTGCCCCTGGGCAACTGGTCCCAGTGGTGGTGGGGGGTGGGCGGGCTGTGCCAGGGGCCCAGGGCAAACACTGGCTACATGCTGGGCACTGGGGAAAGAGCAGTGGGCAGACAAAATGGTCCCTTGTCCTGGAGCTGATGGAGGAGACACGCCTTGGAAAACAAGTAAATAAGCAACATTAATCACGAGGATGGTGACAAACTATGATGACACAGAAGCCTGGAGTCACCGGGGGCTGCAGTAGAGGGTGAAGGGCTGAGCCGGTTAGGAGGAGGATGTGGGCAGAGGTGAGTTCCCAGAGGAGCGGATCCAGGGGAGAGGGAACCGGGGGTGGGGAGCCGGGGGGTGCAGCACTGTGCACGCGTCATAGATGAAAATGAGCTGGGGGCCTCCAGAAACCAAACAACCCCAGGGTGTCCAGGGCGGAGTGGGCCACAAGGAGGGAGGAACCAGACAGCTGGGAGAGGTGGGGAAGAGTCAGGGCGGAGGGGCTTTAGCACGAGGACAACCTGATCATGGGGGCAAGTGTGGGAAGAACGAATGCAGACTGCATTCGGATTTGACATGGCAGCCATCAGAATGTGAAAAGACAAAGCACATTGGGAGAAGGTATTTGACCAGCCATATGACCAGCCAAAGGAGAGAATCAGAACGTATATAAAGAACATCTACAAATCAGTGAGGAAAAGACAAACGATCCAAGAGGGAAGACTTTGAACAGGGTTTCCACGAAAGAAGAAACACCAAGAGGCCACAAGCTTATAAAAAGATGTTCTGCTTCGCAAATAACTAGGGGATGCAAACTTGGTGCCCACAGGGCTCGGCATGTGGTGCAGGGCGCGACGGGGCACAAAGCCCGTTAGGAAGCATTTGTGATTATTTAAGAATAAAACAAGAATACATTTTTTTAATTTACATTTGTTAGTTCTTTCAAATGGTTACTAAGTTGTTAGGACATGAATATGTATCAGGTTGTCTGGACCTAATACTTAATAAACAGAACCATTGGGTATTTCTTTGGTGGAAGAGTTTGTGAAGGAGTCCTGAGACACGGAGGGAGCCATGAGCTGAGGCAGTCTGGGGACCTCAGGGTTAGAGAAGACGGGGCTGTTCCAGACCAGTCTAAGAGGCTGCCCCCGAATCACGGAGGGGCGGGGAAGGCAGGTGGAGGGTTGTGTAGGGGGCCTCAGGGAACCACAAACAGTCCTTCTCCTCAGGGGCCATAAGAGTTCCTCTAAGTGACTCACGACCAGCTCCTTCTTGTCCCTGTTTCAGGAGGGTGCAGGCAGTATGACTGGACATCGAATGGACTCAGGGGCAAGGGTCCACGCCCTGTGTGGTGGCCTGAATTGTGTCCCCAAAGCCATGTCTAAGTCCTAACCCCCAGAACCCATGAATGGAAACTTACTTAGAATTAGGGGTCCTCATAGATGTAATTAGGTTGAGACTCTCAGTATGAGATCATACTGAGAGTCCTTATAAGAGATTGGGGTCCTTATAAGAGAAAGGCTGAGGGAGAGGCCCAAGACCCAGTGAGGCACGGGGAAGAGGACCACATGTGCAGACAGAGAGAGACCGGAGAGATGTCACCCCAAGGCAGGGAAGGCCAAGAGCCCCCAGAGTCTGGAAGACAAGAGGCGGCCCTCCCCCAGAGCCTTCGTAGGGAGCCTGGACCCTGCTGACACCTTGATTTAGGACTTCTAGCCTCTAGGACCATGAGAACAAATTCTCATCTTTTTTTTTTTTTTTAAGATTTCATTCATTTATTTGAGAGAGAGAGAATGAGAGAGAGCACATGAGAGGGGGGAGGGTCAGAGGGAGAAGCAGACTCCCTGCCGAGCAGGGAGCCCGATGCGGGGACTCGATCCCGGGACTCCAGGATCATGACCTGAGCCGAAGGCAGTCGCTTAACCAACTGAGCCACCCAGGCGCCCAATTCTCATCATTTTAAGACACCCAGTCTGTGGTAAGTTGTGGTGGAAGCCACGGGAAATGAATACACCCTGTCTGGCCATTGCAGCAGGCCAGCCGACATGGGACCCTCCATTCAGAGTGGGCTGTCACATCGTAACTGCCAGGAACTAGCAAACCTACCCACCTGACCCAGCCGTTTCTGTGCACCAGCAACTCTGACCTTGGCATAGTGGCCTCCCCAGGTGGCTTCCCCCTCATGGGAGGAAGGAAGGGGCCGACACACAGCCCGTGAGACACTAGGAGACAAACAGCGGCAGCTGGGGAGAACGATGCTGTGTCCCCTCATTCTGTGCTGTGCAGTCATGGGTCTGTCATTTCCCCCTCTGGGCGCCCGTTGGCCCACATGCCACATGTCTTGAGAAATGAGTTAGCGTTGGGCCCTTACAAACCATCCACCAAGGGCCCAGCCTGTGTGTGTGTGTTAGGCAAGATGCTCCAAGTCAAGTCACCACCGTGACGACATTTCCCTCCTTGGCAGGTGGGGCAGGTCCCCAGATGTACTGGTCAGTTACCACTGTTCTAGCCAAGTCCCACACACCGCGGCTTCTAACAATGGAAATGTATTGTCTTCTGGTCCCAGAGGCCAGAGGTTGGAGATCCAGGTGTTGGTAAGGCTGGTTCCTTCTGAAGATGGTGGAGGAAGAAAGTGTGAATTTAGACAATTGTCTTAAACCCCATGAGCCCCTGGTGCTTCCTCTAGAAAATGAGAATAAAATCTCAGTAGTTGGTCCATGGGGTATCGGCGACAATTAAAGGAGAGAAGCCTGGGATGTGTGCATGTATGTGCCCTCGGCAAGCAGTACGTTATGACTGTCCTAGGTCCCCACTTTCTGGCACATCGTGGGCATTTAATTCATGTGTGGGGAGTAAGGGAGAGAATCAGAATATATAAAAATAAACCAATAAGTAGCCATGATTTTGACAGCTTAGGAATAACCAAGCTTCCGCCTTTGGGCAAAAAAAACCACAGTGCCCAGTGAGTTGCAAAGATAGCCAATGTCCCTGCATGTCCCCACCAAGGCATCCTCTGTGGGAGAAGGCAGCTTCACGGTTTCTCCCACTGTCGAGACTGGTAAATGTTTTATAGTTATTTACAAGGCAGAGCAATTATGTATAATTATTCCATAATGCAAACACATTATGAATACTTACAGCACCGTTCCCCCCCACCCCAAGGAATCTGGCGGAACTGTGTGTTAAAGATATTTTGTGTAATTGAAATTTGGAACAGGTGTAGAAAGGAAAAAAGAGCCTTCCTGACAGAGGTAAGGGAAACTGCCAGACACTCTCTTGTTAGAATAAGAAAGCCATTCCAGGAAGGAATGGGGAAGGGCCCTGCTGTGGGAGGTCCCGCAGATGAGAGCATCGAACTCCACTCCCGAGAAGAGGCCAGGTGCCAGCCCGCTCTAACACAGCACCTCTTCTTACCCCCCATCGCACTCACCACCTCCAAGTAGCCTCACCTGCTCACTTGTCCATGGTCCGCCTCCCCCACGGAAGGGGAGGATTTCTGGTCTTGTGCACTAGTCGGGAGCACAGTTGACACTCAATAAATTCCTGTTGAATAAGCAAGTGTAAAAATGAGTAAGTCACTCCCCAGGGGGAGGAGTGGGGGAAAAGGAATTAGCATTCGATGAGCACTTACTATCTGGGAGAGTCCCAGGACAGCACTTAGCCCTCAGGAGCTCCCGGGGCTCGGGGTTTTACCCCCCAGTGCCCAGATGGCGAGATTACACAGGGACAGGACTGTGGAGACGAGCTTCTCGCTCGGGCCCCGCTCCCACCCCTCCAGGACAGAGGCCATCCTCGGCATCTAACACCAGCCCGCTGACAAAAGGAACATTCTGTATGGGCAGCCAGGACATCATAAATCACCCTACTGAACAGTGCCTCTGTGATCAAAAAGGAGCCATCAGACACAAAAACTGCTCTTAAAAATGAAAAGGGGAACCCAGTGGCCACAGGGGGGCGGGGGGGCGGCCTTCATAAGGCAAGCTCATTTTCCCGACAGCTGAATGGAAACTTGAACCGCAGTCTCTCAACCTGAACTTCGACTTGGCCTAATTCCATATCAAGTGACAAGTTTGCCACCTGTCCTGGGTCTGGCCCACAGAAGACCTCAAAGGGCACCTCTCCCCTCACTTGGCCTTGACGTACAAATCCTATCTGTTCTTATTTAAGAAACAATAACAGCATTTATACCCCGTCCCCGCACAGATGGCTGGACAGTCGCCTGATCCTGTGTCTGCCCCTCCATCTGGGAGAGTCGGCGGCGGTGGGGACGGCCAGTTTAATGTGCGGGTGAGGCTGACGAAACCACCTGCAGGCAGAGGAACCGCTTTAATGGGGGCGACAGATGAAACTCGCCCACCTTGGCCCTAAGTGTCAACTTGAGGACACAAGGTGAACCTGGGAGTCAGACAGACTGTGGTCAGGACCCTGGTCCCTCACGTACTCCTTGTGTGACCTTGGGCAGGTCACCGGACTTCTCTGCTCGGCTGTCTTAGCCATAAAAAGAACCCCTTCCCTGTGGTGTGATTGTGACGGTTTAATTTAACGGGATAATGTACGTAGATCGCTGCAGATCTGACACGAAATGAGCTTCTCAAGCAGTAGGTGTCATTCTTAGGTTACTGACTCTCGGCAAACGTCTTCTGAACCAGCCAAGTCTCCAGGAACAAGGCCGCAAATCTGGTTCCCTGTTGAACTCACTCCTTCCCAGGGCTCATCCAGAAAGTCAGGGCCTCACAGATCTGTGAGAGACCTTACACGTCATGTGATGTGCCCGTTCTCTACAGAGAGGGACACCAAGTCCCCGAGAGGAGAGAAGAATTGGCAGTGATGGCAGAGCCAGGAGCAGAACCCCGGATCACCGAGAGTTTCCCCTTAGCTCCTCTTGCTTCTATATAGTCTGTCAGTTACCCTTGCTGCGTAACAAATGCCCCCAAAACGTAGCAGCCTAAAACGACGACGATCACCTTCTGCGGAGGCTACTTTGCTCAGGCTGCTATCTCAGCAGCTCACCACACCCTGAGCGGCTTAACCAACAGAAATTTATTTCTCACAGTCCCGGAGGGTAGAAGTCCAAGATCAAGGTGCTGGCAAGGTTGGTTTCTCCCAAGCCCTCTCTTTGGCTTGCAGACAGCTACCGGCTACCTTCTCTCTGTGCATCTACATCCCTGGTGTCTCTCCCCTTCTTATCAAGACACCAGCCAGACTGGGTTAGGGCCCACCCACCCTTAGCATCTCATTTAACCTTAATTTTCTCTTTAAAGGCCCTAACTCCAAAGACTGTCACATTCTAACATCCAGGGGTCGGGGCTGCCACAAACACACTTGGAGGAAGGCGCAAAATTCAGCCCCTGACATTGTCTGCCACTGGTTCTGCAGGCCAGGAATTTGGGAGTGCTCAGCTGGACGGTGGGGCCAAGGGGACCGATGGTGCAGCTACAGTCAGATGGCAGTGGCTGGAGCTGGAATGGCGGAGGGCTGGAGCCTCTGGGGCCAGCAGGGCATTTCTCTCTCTCTTCTTCATGATCTCAAGCCTTCTCCGGGAGGTCTGTGCACGTGGACAGGTCTGGGCTTGCGCGGGCAGCCATGCCGCTCCCATCGTCATGGGGATGGCACAGGGCTCCAGCATGAGCAATCCAGCCGACAAGCTGGAAGGTGGACGACCGGGCAGCACATCACTTCCACTGCCTCCTTCAAGTCACGAACTGTACCCGCTTGAAGAGGGTCCCCGCAAAAGCCACCAGAAGGTCACCTTATTTAGAAATAGGCTCGTTGCAGAATCAGGTAGATGAGGTCATACGGGAGTAGGTTGGGCCCTCGGGCCAGTATGACTGGTGTCTGTAAAGGAGAGGGAGAATCAGACAGAGGGACAGAGGGGACACAGTGGGAGAAGGCCATGCGAACGTGGAGGCAGGGCCTGGAGCAAGGCCGCTACGAGGAAGGTCAAGGCCTGCCGGCAGCCACCAGAGGCTAGGAAGAGGCAAGGAAGACTCCTCCCCGGGCCCCGCAGAGAGAGCATGGTCCTGCCAACACCTTGAGCAGTGAGGGAATAAATTTCTGTTGTTTTCAGTCACCCAGTTCACGGTAATTTTGTTGCGGCTCTAAGGAAAAAAGACACAAGCCCAGCCAGCTTCCAGGGGAAGGGAATCAGACTTCACCTCTGGAAGGAAGGGGGCAACATTCTAGAAGAGCACAGGGACAGGAGAAACTGCAGTGACCACCTACAAAAAGTGCAATTGGGCACAAACTCTAAGTTGATGAGAAGAGGGACGCGAAGTCACAGGCCTCCAGACCCTCCCAAGCCAGTCCACGCCCTCCGGGGTTGACCACCTCTGCCTGGAGAGCCCCTGAAGGATTTAAGATGAGCCAGACCTGCGGCAGGAACAGAGCTGGCTCAGGTGGCCAGAGAAGCTGGGGAGGAGTGGCTTCTGCACCAGCAGGAAGCAAACCAACACCTTGTCGCCCTTGAAGCCTGAATAGGGATGTACACCAGGCAATGCCAGGAATCCGTCTGAGCTTTAGGAAAATCTGGTGCTTCCTGGGCTGACTGGGGCTTGAGGGGATGGTCTTTTTTTTAAGATTTTATTTATTTATTTATTTGAGAGAGAGCAAGTGAGCGAACGTGCAATCAGGATTGGGGGAGCACAGAGGGAGAGAATCTCAAGCAGACTCCCTGCTGAGCATGGAGCCCAACACGGGGCTCGATCTCACAACCCTGAGACCATAACCTGAGCTGAAACCAAGAGTTGGACACTGATTCTAGAGGCACTCTGCCATGCCCCACCAGCCACTCTAAGCCACCTCGCCCAAGCTTCCTGTCCTGCCCTTTTGTTGCCACGCCCTTCACTGAGACCACAAGGACTTGTGTTTTGCTTTTCAAATGCCACCCTTGACTCAGAGTGTTAGGGTCGGGGTGGAGGGAGGGTGGCAGGAGACCTCCAGTTTCCCAGGACTACTCGCTAAGATCACTCCCCACAGGTCTTAAGGGAAGACCCTAACAATCCAATCACTTGGGATGCTAAGGGTTGTAATAAACCAAAACTCCACCTTGAACTGCCTTGATCTCAAAGGAAATATTTTACTTCCTTCAAGTATAAGACTGGAAATAGGGTAAACTCCAAGAAGACTCTATTAGTTAAAGAAATCCTAGCAGCAAGCAAAAGCAAACTCACAAGTGACTCATGGCTCCAGTATAATAGAGGTTTATGGCTCATTCCTGTAAAGCCCAAAGCAGGGTTCTGGCTGGCAGGTGTCTCCTCTCCAAAGTATGACTCAGGGACCCAGGCTCCTTCCACCCTGTGGCTAGTCTCCTTTCAATGTGAGGATTCCAATGTTTCCGTGTTCAACTGCATCAAATTTACAGAGAGGGGAAAAAATTGGATGATGGGCGGGGGCCAGGGGGCTGCTTACTTCCCATCTCCCCTACAAGGACGCATGCAAGTTCCATGAGGGCAGAAATTTAGGAGGCATGTCTACCCCAAGCGTGGGATTCAGCACACTCAGTGAATTGGCTCTTGTTTTTAGACTTATCCCTCATGGTTGCAAGAAGGCTGCCATTGCCCCAAGCATTACATGTTCACACTGCAGCATCCACACCAAGAAGCAAAAAAGGAGACTCTAGCCAAAGGAACTCCTCATATATACCTCTCTCTTCTTGTCAGAGAGGAAGATCTTTCCCAGAAGTTTTCTTGTTCATCTCATAATCCCAAACTAGAACATAGGACCACTGCCTTACATATGACAAAAGGGAGTCCGGCAAAGGGAATAACAGGATTTTTGAGCCTCTAGCATGGAAGGTGAGCAAGGGTGAGGGAAGTATAGAATAGGCTTTGCCACACAGCCTTACTCAAAACCAGCCCCACAGTGGGGCCCCCTGGAGGCTGCATGATGGAGATGTCCAGGCCGACCTGGGAGGGGCACCAAGCAAGGCCAGAAGTGACACATGCAGCACGAGGCTCATAGGGAACTAGAGATGGGACATGTGCCCCAGCCTCCCACAGCCCAGGACAGCACCACCGGCCCAGCCACGTAAGGAGTGAGCCGGAAGGTCCCAGAGTCAGCCCATGAGGTCAGGTTAGAGGTGCTCCCTTCGGCATCAGAAGAAGTGCGAGGGCAGAGATGAAGCAGGTGACTGTGAATAAGAACTGTCCCTCTGGGTCAAACCCTGCATTTCTGCAGTGGCTTCTGTCTGAAATCAGCAGCGCATGGACCCAGGCACATGCTCCGTCCACCCGCCTGCCATCCCTGTCCTCCCTTCCTCCTGTTTAATTTCCCCCTCTTTGGACCCTGTGATAAAATACAGTACAGTATTTTCCCCCTTGGAAAGGACAGCTCTTTTAACAGTATTACAAAGCACCTTCAATTTGAACTCAACTTGTAACCTCAACTGAAGACTATTTTGCTTTTAGTCACTATTATGTGGAATGTTATTCATTACTTTCTTTTTATTCCCAGCAATGTGTTTTCTATCAATGTGTATCTTTTGAAACTTTTTTTTTAACATGAATGAATTTTTCTCTACCACAATATTACAGGAGGAGACAGCATGCATGCTAAACTCCAGAGTGTCTGACTTCTTGGAAGGGAAAACTAACATGGGATGGAATTCATTCTTTCTCCTGGGCCTGTCCTCAGGACCTGCCAAACCCCAAGTTCCCCACTGCTCACCTGCCTACTGAGAACCGCCCCCCAGGGCCACAGTGCAGGCTCAGTCTTCATGGTCATCCCAAGCGTTGGGGCTCGTGGCCTGTGCGTGCTCAGGTTCAGGATAGACAGGGGTTTGGTGACTCTGAACCCTCGGCACCAGATGTCACCCCCACTGAAGAGAAGGCCTGCTCTGCCCAAGAGAGCAGAGGTGGCTCCAGCACGCTGAAGAGTCTGGGGCTGGGTGCAGAGGGTGTATTTTCTGAGTGAGTGACCTTAGGAAAGTCACTGATCCCCAGAGAGCCCCGGTGAGCCTCAGTGTGATCTCTGCAGAGTCGAGGTCAGCCCCCAGGGCTGGGTGTGGGCTTCAGTCTCTCCTGTCCTTGTGCCTGGCCACCTCGGAAGGGCGGGGCTCTCTCTACATGGGAGTCATGGTTGTTCTTCAGAAGAAGCAGAACTGCCCAACGTGGTCACTGTCCTCAGGACTTTACAGTTTGGAAGGAAGAAAGGCAAGAAATGCCTCCAGTCCTCAAGGCACCATCCCAATGCTGCCTCCTCCAGGAAGCCTTCCTTGTCCCTCCACCCCTGCTTGGTGCCCTGGGAGCAGGTGGTGAGCATCTTGTCACTTTATTCTTTGTGGATCTGCAAGCCTGTCATGCCTGAGCTCTCCTTCCTTTGTTCCTGAAAGCCTAGAACCTAATTTCTACTTGAAGACATTCAGAAAATACTAGCTGACTTAATTGAGACACACAGAGGTGCAGACAGAGGTAATTGCGAAGTTAAATCACATCGGTCTCTGCAGCTGCAAGTGGGTCTCATGAGCATTCCCTCAGAACACAGCTCCTGGAAGAACTGATTTAGAAGAAGGTGAGGTGCACTGAAGGGCCAGGTCATGGCCAAGTGGTCATTTGGAAAGCTGAGTGTCATCATTTCCACATGACAGTGAGAACCTATAATTGACCAGGCCCACCACCATTTCCAAAGAGCTCCAGGGGATGGGGGTGGGGGGAGGACTATATTCACAATGTCTAAGCCTGCAATGGGTTAGTAGCTAGAATGTGCAAGAGACTCCTGCAGATCGAGAGGAAAAAGGGAGCAGACCTAATAGAAAATTGGGCAAAAGGAAAGAACAGGCAACGTGCAGAAGAAGAAAACAAAGGACCAACAAGTATGTGAAGAGATGCTGGAACATACTAGTCATCTGAGAAGTGCTATTTAAAACAAAGACAGCACATTACACATACTGAACTGGCAAAAATTAGAAAGCCGAGTTATGCCAGGTGTTGGTGAAGATGCGGGCTGTGGCACGTTGGTCAGATTACAGGCCCCACGACACAAACACGCCCTGTGAGGGCGCCCGCTGGGGCCCTACAGTATTTTCCCAAAGCCAAGCCTCACTCCACAGTGAGGAGCACCAGTCTTGTATGTCCCTAATAAAGGGCAAATTGCCACCATGAATGCCAAAATGCTTTCTTACCACTTAGGATTTTTATACTCATTGAAAGGGCTCTTTTTGATTTGTTTAGACACAGCTCTTTTTAAAAATTATTTTCTGCTTGGGCACCTGGGTGGCTCAGTCGGTTAAGCGTCTGCCTTCGGCTCAGGTCATGATCCCAGGGTCCTGGGATCGAGTCCCGCATCGGGCTCTCTGCTCTGTGGGGATCCTGCTTCTCCCTCTACTCCCCACTTGTGCTCTCTATCTCACTATCTCTGTCTCTCTCTCTCAAATAAATAAAATCTAAAAAAAAAAAATTATTTTCTGCTCTTAGGCTCACAGAAGAAGAAGATTAGTGAAATAAATGGAGTGGAGTCTTCCTAGCTCTCCTTCCCGCCCAGGCCCAGCAATCATGCACCAGCTTTTGGTGTTGGCAGCACCCATCCTTCCCAAACCTCGTTGCCTTCATGGCATTAATCATGGGCGTTTCTTGAAAGAGGGCTTGGCTATCAGCCCCCAACATTCTCCCAGGCTGCAGTCGCCCTGCACAGGTTGTCCCCATGCCCATGTTATGACATCCGTGGGGGGCAGGCAGGGGCAACGTGTCACAATGGCCAACAGCAGGCACAGGGGGCCAGCCAACTTCAAGATGTTAGAATAACTAAGAACATGCCTGTTAGGATCCCTGTTTGTGGACTGGGAGCCCATCTGGGAACGACAGGAAAAACGAGACACAGACACCATGGAGGACCACGTGCCTAGAAGCATCAGACACGGTGTGCACACGCACCTGCTTATGTAAACCGAAGCAGTAATTCTCATTAAACTTATGGGAATGGGGGGGGGGGGGGGCGGAGCAAGATGGCGGAGGAGTAGGAGACCTGGATTTCGTCTCCTCTCAGGAATTCAGCTGGATAGGGATCAAACCATTCTGAACACCTAGAAACTCAACAGGAGATCAAAGAAAAGAATAGCAACAACTCTCCAAACAGAAAAGCGACCATTTTCTGGAAGGTAGGACGAGCAGAGAAGTGAATCCGAGGCGATGTTCCGGAGGATAGATGGCGGGGGAGGGGCCTCCGTCGGCCGCTTCTGGCAAGTGATAGAGCCGCGGAGCACAAAATTGGAACTTTTAAAAGTCTGCTCCGCCGAGGGACGTCACTCTGGTGGCTAAGCGGGGGGTAGAACCCTCCGGGACAGTGTGGTCTCAGGACCCTCGGGGTCACAGAAAGACCGGGGGTGCCTGAGTGTGGCAGAGCTCCCAGGTAATGGAGCAGGGAAGCCGGCTGCAGAGGGGAGCCCAGGCGCGGGCTCTCAGCTCGGGGTGGCCATAAACCGTGATCCGCGGCCCAGTCGGGCCCCTGTTCCTCCAGCAGGGACCCAACAAGCGGCAGATCCGGGGAGACTCACCTTCCTCCCCGGGGAGGAGCCGCGTGGGACTGCACCGCAGGGATCTGCTGGGTTTGGAGACTCCACCCGGGGTCGGGGCCAGAGATAGAAACGCGCGGTCACAGGCCGGGTGAGCACGGAGTGCGGCCGGAGACCGGGGAGCCGGGAGTGACTGACAGCTTTTCTCTGGGGGCTCACTGAGGAGCGGGCCCCCGAGTTCTCGGCTCCTCCGGGGCGGAGATTGGGAGGCCGCCATCTTCACTCTCCGCCTCCAAAGCTGTACGGAAAGCTCGCAGGGAACAAAAGCCCCGGAGAGCAAACCCGAGCAGATGACTTAGCCGGGAGGGGGCAAGGGCGGGGCAATTCCGCCTCCGGCAGAGACATTTGGAAACCACGGCAACAGGCCCCTCCCCAGAAGATCAGCGAGAACAGCCGGCCAAGACCAAGTTTACCGATCAATGAGAACCGCAGAACTCCAGCGCTAGGGGAATACTGCACATAGAATTCATGGCTTTTTACCATGATTCTTTAGTCTTTCAAAGTTAATTTTTTTTAACTGTCCTTTTTTCTTTTTTTTTCTTTTTGAATTTTTCTTTTTCCCTTTTTCAACCAACATCTTATCAATCCTTTTTTAAAAAAAACATTTTTATTTTTCATTTTTAGAGTCATATTCTATCCCTTCATAGTAGTTACCCGTATTTTTGGCTTATATATATAAGTTGTTCTCTCTTTAAAATTTTGAGATAGTTTCTTCTAACAGATTAAAATATACCCTAAATCTCTAGTATATGGTGTTTTCTATTCCCCTGCCTGATCACATCCTCTCCCTTTTTTTTTTCTTTTTCTTTTTTCTTTTTTTAAATCCTCTTCTTTCTTTTTTCAAACAACTTATCAATTCCTTTTATAAAATTTTTTATAATTTTCATCTTTACAGTCATATTCCATCCCTTCATCATATCAACCCTTATTTTTGTACATATATAAGTTTTTCTTTCTTTAAAATTTTGGGAGGCACTTTCTTCTAAAAGACCAAAATACACCCCAAATCTAGTGTGTGGCACTGATCTATATACCAGCCTGATCATATTTGATCACATTCTGGTTTTTTTGTTGTTGTTGTTTTGTTTTGTTTTGTTTGTTTTTGTTTTTATCTTTATCTTTTTCTTTTTTTTCTTTTTCTTTTTTCTCTCTTTCCCTTTCTTTTCCCACTGCTTCAGGTCTTTTCTGATTTGTTTACAGTATATTTTCTGGGGACGTTGTTACTCTGCTAGCATTTTGTTCTCTCATTAATCTATTCTCCTCTGCACAAAATGACAAGACGGAAAAAATCACCTCAACAAAAAGAACAAGAGGTAGTACCGACTGCCAGGGACCTACTCAATACGGACATTAGTACGATGTCAGATCTAGAGTTCAGAATCATCACTTTAAAGATACTAGCTGGGCTTGAAAAAAATATGGAAGTTATTAGAGAAACCCCTTCTGGAGAAGTAAAAGAACTAAAATCCAACCAAGTAGAAATCAAAAAGGCTATTAATGAGGTGCAATAAAAAATGGGGGCGCTAACTGCTAGAATAAATGAGGCAGAAGAGAGAATCAGTAATATAGAAGATGAAATGATGGAAAATAAAGAAGCTGAGAAAAAGAGAGATAAACAACTACTGGATCACGAGGGCAGAATTCGAGAGATAAGCAATACCATAAGACGAAACAACATTAGAATAATTGGGATCCCAGAAGAAGAAGAAAGAGAGAGAGGGGCAGAAGGTATAATGGATCAAATTATAGCAGAGAACTTCCCTAATTTGGGGAAGGAAACAGGCATGAAAATCCAGGAAGCACAGAGAACCCCTCTCAAAATCAATAAAAATAGGTCAACACCCCGACATCTAATAGTAAAACTTACGAGTCTCATAGACAAAGAGAAAATCCTGAAAGCAGCTCGGGAAAAGAGATATGTAACCTACAAGGGTAGAAACATTAGATTGGCAACAGACCTATCCACAGAGACCTGGCAGGCCAGAAAGGACTGGCAGGATATATTCAGAGCACTAAATGAGAAAAATATGCAGCCAAGAATACTATATCCAGCTGGGCTGTCATTGAAAATTGAAGGAGAGATAAAAAGCTTCCAGGACAAACAAAAACTAAAAGAATTTGCAAACACAAAACCAGCCCCACAGGAAATCTTGAAAGGGGTCCTCTAAGCAAAGAGAGACCCTAAAAGCAACATAGACCAGAAAGGAACACAGACAATATACGGTAACACTCACCTTACAGGCAATACAATGGCACTAAATTCCTATCTTTCAATAGTTACCCTGAATGTAAATGGGCTCAATGCCCCAGTCAAAAGACAGAGGCTATCAGATTGGATTAAAAAACAAGACCCATCGATATGCTGTCTGCAAGAGACTCATTTTAGAACCAAAGACACCCCCAGATTGAAAGTGAGGGGGTGGAACACCATTTACCATGCTAATGGACACCAAAAGAAAGCTGGGGTGGCAATCCTTATATCAGACAAATTAGATTTTAAACCAAAGACTGTAATAAGAGATGAGGAAGGACACTATATCATACTTAAAGGATCTATCCAACAAGAAGATCTAACAATTGGGCGCCTGGGTGGCTCAGTTGGTTAAGCGACTGCCTTCGGCTCAGGTCATGATCCTGGAGTCCTGGGATCGAGTCCCGCATCGGGCTCCCTGCTCGGCAGGGAGTCTGCTTCTCCCTCTGACCCTCCTCCCGCTCATGCTCTCTGTCTCTCATTCTCTCTGTCTCAAATAAATAAATAAAAAATCTTTAAAAAAAAAAAAAAAGAGGATCTAACAATTGTAAATATCTATGCCCCTAACATGGGAGCAGCCAATTATATAAGGCAATTAATAACAAAAGCAAAGAAATACATCGACAACAATACAATAATAGTGGGGGACTTTAACACCCCCCTCACTGAAATGGACAGATAGTCTAAGCAAAAGATCAACAAGGAAATAAAGACTTTAAATGACACACTGGACCAAATGGACTTTAAGGACATATTCAGAACATTCCACCCCAAAGCAACGGAATACACATTCTTCTCTAGTGCCCATGGAACATTCTCCAGAATAGATCACATCCTAGGTCATAAATCAGGTCTCAACCGGTACCAAAAGATTGGAATCATTCCCTGCCTATTTTCAGACCACAATGCTTTGAAACTAGAACTCAATCACAAGAGGAAAGTCGGAAAGAACTCAAATACATGGAGGCTAAAGAGCATCCTACTGAAGAATGAATGGGTCAACTAGGAAATTAAAGAAGAATTTAAAAAATACATGGAAACCAATGAAAATGAAAACACAACTATTCAAAATCTTTGGGATGCAGCAAAGGCAGTCCTAAGAGGAAAGTATATAGCAATACAAGCCTTTCTCAAGAAACAAGAAAGGTCTCAAGTACACAACCTAACCCTACACCTAAAGGAGCTGGAGAAAGAACAGCAAATAAAGCCTAAACCCAGCAGGAGAAGAGAAATAATAAAGATCAGAGCAGAAATCAATGAAATAGAAACTAAAAGAACAGTAGAACAGATCAACAAAACGAGGAGCTGGTTCTTTGAAAGAATTAACAAGATTGATAAACCCCTGGCCAGACTTATCAAAAAGAGAAGAGAAATGACCCAAATCAACAAAATCATGAATGAAAGAGGAGAGATCACAACCAACACCAAAGAAATACAAACAATTATAAGAACATATTATGAGCAACTCTATGCCAGCAAATTAGATAACCTGGAAGAAATGGAGGCATTCCTAGAGATGTATCAACTACCAAAACTGAACCAGGATGAAATAGAAAACCTGAACAGACCTATAACCACTAAGGAAATTGAAACAGTCATCAAAAATCTCCCAACAAACAAAAGCCCAGGGCCAGATGGCTTCCCAGGGGAATTCTACCAAACATTTCAAGAAGAATTAATATCTATTCTTCGGAAACTGTTCCAAAAAACAGAAATGGAAGGAAAACTTCCAAAGTCATTTTATGAGGCCAGCATTACCTTGATCCCTAAACCAGACAAAGACCCCATCAAAAAGGAGAATTACAGACCAATATCCCTGATGAACATGGATGCAAAAACTCTCACCAAAATACTAGCCAATAGGATCCAACAGTACATTAAAAGGATTATTCACCACGACCAAGTAGGATCTATCCCTGGGCTGCAAGGTTGGTTCAACATCCGCAAATCAATCAATGTGATACAATACATTAACAAAAGAAAGAACAAGAATCATAGGATCCTCTCAATAGATGCAGAAAAAGCATTTGACAAAGTACAGCATCCTTTCTTGATCAAAACTCTTCAGAGTATAGGGATAGAGGGTACCTACCTCAATATCATAAAAGCCATCTATGAAAAACCTACAGCGAATATCATTCTCAATGGGGAAAAACTGAGAGCTTTCCCCCTAAGGTCAGGAACGCGACAGGGATGTCCACTATCACCACTGCTATTCAACATAGTATTGGAAGTCCTAGCCACAGCAATCAGACAACAAAAAGAAATCAAAGGCATCCAAATTAGCAAAGAAGAAGTCAAACTCTCACTCTTTGCAGATGATAGGATACTTTATGTGGAAAACCCCAAAGACTCCACCCCAAAACTGCTAAACTCATACAGGAATTCAGTAAAGTGGCAGGATATAAAATCAATGCACAGAAGTCAGTGGCATTCCTATACACCAACAACAAGACAGAAGAAAGAGAAATTAAGGAGTCGATCCCATTTACAATTGCACCCAAAACCGTAAGATACCTAGGAA